CTTCCTTTATCATGCACGAAGCAGTGTCTGCTTAATCTTTTTGGAACGGCTAATACACTGAGGTACTTGATTCACATTGACCATTTTTAAATTAGTGTTGGCACTTTTCATTTCATGAATGTAGCTGTGGTGTCTGTGATGTATTAATGTCGCATCCGAGGAATCGATTGCGTTTTCTATGCATGTCCAAGTCCTACCCAAAAACGCAACATCTGGACCTCGACTATTAATTCACTCCCCCTGCTCCTAGTGTTAATTCATTGATATTTCTTGGCCTATAAGCACAATCATCTTATAAAATGTACTAAAGGGACTTCGTCGTCTCGATGTCTTATCCGGTCAGGTCAAAGGAACCTATAGGCGGTCTCGCCATATTAGTACAGGTGATTTCCCTTATTTCATGCCAGTTTGCTTCCTGATTGATGCCCCGAAATGATAAATATTCACCAAAGCCTTGCACAAAATGTAAATCTAAATAACATTTTCCAATCCGTACCCCCAAAGGTGGAAAAGAAAGCATTGCTAGAAAAAGAACTAGATTCGTGGGTATACTATAAGGGTAACCAATTCATGGAAAAATTACTCTTCTTAATCCATTTAAAGTTCCAAACAAACTTAAAGATACATTATGGGAGATTCGATAACGAGTTGGTAGTTCTCACTATAATAGTTAAAAACTGGATAACGTAAAGGCAATTTGCTGAAAATTTCATTCAAATTGATCCACTGTGAACAGAAAACTAAGCGAATGAAATTTCTGCCTAGCCTAGGTCATCATTACTAAAGTCAGTACGATAAACAGCATAGTCTCGATTATCCAGTCGAGAAGGAAAGTTATGCAGTAAATCGGCTCACAATCCACTTAAGATCGCAGGCTAGCGATGCCATCTAGAGTTGATTATGGTCTGGATAAGTTAATTAATGTCTAATTAATAATTTAGATAACATTTCAGGTCTAAAGAAAGACCTGCAATAGACAGATTTAGCTAGTTTAAACAATATTTATTCATAAAATATCATATAATACATTACAGTTTTAAAGATAAGATTTAGCTCTTGCATAATGTATGTTTAAGTTAGTTCAAAGCGATTATGGTCTGCTAGGTCGTAAAAAACCTGAAGCCCGGTTCAGTCTGGACCTTCGTAGCGTGCGTTCGACATAGGCATTATTAATTAAAAAGGGGAATGGACAAAGTTTAAATGTTTCGTGAACGCATCACATTGGTTATTTCAGATCACCATGGTTCATCAATTTTCAAAATAAAACCCAACATTTATTACTACTGACTGTATATAATACTGGTGAGAATTATGTAAGCGTTAAAACATATTATATGTAAAATAAAACAAATCACTGCGGGTGTCATCCACGTCTTTCACAATATTACCATTTCAACACATTATTCATTTATTTTAGTACATATGCTGTAACGATCATGACAAGCGAAATGGACAGAATAACAATTTTAACACCCGATTCATATCTACACTGTTTCAATGTTTTAATAATCACAGCCTCTTTATCTACATGTGTCACCATTATCAATACTATAGACATTATTTATATCATATTCTGACACCATTCTGTCGTGTTGATCTTTCAAATAAGTCAGACCAACTGCTGTCTTTATCCCGAATCTTTAGGCTATATGTATTTATCAGATAAGGTAGGGAAGTCACTAATGTTAATTCCGATTCACTGAAAGGCATTCAATGGCTACCTGATATCGTAGGTATAACGTCTTTCTTGTACCTGTCAAATTAAATGAATTCGTCTATATAGGGTCTTTGTGTTGAACTGTCAACGGGTCGCGTGCCCAACGGAGTAAACACCCACTTATCATTTGGTTCACCATACCTGCGGACACAAGTCATGTACATTGAGGGCTTTGCTTTTATTGATAACATTTAAAACAATTTAAGATTGTTAACATGACACTGATTGTTTGGAAATAAACCCCTTTTGTAACAATGATTAAAGGCCATCGATAGTCTTTTCCCTTCTTTTTATGGTGGATGAACATGCACTAAGTCTGGAAATACAAAATGGCAGAGACGAATGTGCAACTAACACGAACTATGCATGTAATCTGTCATAAATGACATATATTCCCGAACGTGGTGACAATCGGAGACTTTGAGCCATTTGGCTCTGTTACACACAGGAAAGAAAGATTCCTTTGTTAATAAGTGTGGTATAGTTATAGTTTTCCCAAATATTCTCTTGTTATGAATAAATAATGAAATTTTGTAGTTTTGTGGCTTAGTTGGACAAGAGCTCGCTTTTAATTAGAAAGAACCCATTTTTGGGATGTCATTTATAATAGTTTATTCGGTGATTTTGACTTAGATTTAAAAAGCAGAAGTTACATGACAGATTGGATTGTAACCAAAGCACAATTTCAGGATATAATTGTTAAAAATGGCCAATTTCAACTTTTTGAAATCATAATAAAACATAATTTTAACAATATGCAAATTTTGAAGAATCGTATATTAGATTACAATCTACATGTAGACTAACCCAGAAATACAAAAATGGGCTGCGTTCTTTTCGAATACCCTTTTATATTTTGAATCATAAAATTAGGGTAATTCAGGCAACAAATCTACAGAGTTTCATATAATAATCAGTCCACCTACAATTATCATCGTTCGATGTCGTCATTTAAGTGAGATTGTCTTACACTTTAATCGGGAAAGAGAAAATTATATTGCGTTCTTTTATCAAAGTTAAGCTCAACAATTATCATTATAGCCAATCCACAACATGGGTATACACTTTATCCTCACAACAATGGTCGCTTATTCTCGATTATTACGTGGAAACGGTAAGATCAAGAGACCCAAAAGCTCTAAAATCAAGCTTAATGCTATATTATTGTCAACGCTCCATTAGATCTCTATAGCTATAATTGTACATCTTTATTTGCTAATCATCGGCTGCGAACATTTAATATAGATAATGTAGTGCGATAGTAAACCAATTGTCATACCTCGGTAAACTTGTAAGGACACCAAATACGGCGATGACCACGCTACTCAGAAAGCCACCAGACGTTATAAAGACGTTAAAGCTATTATCAACCAATTTAAACGTATATCTTTGTAATTATACTTAAGTACCAGTATTTACTGATAATACACAATAAAAAATAATGGCAACATTGCAGATAGTTGCGTTTTTGTAGATCGCACATTATCTTCGTCGTTATTTTGTGAGTGACAAAATACAAGAATAAAGCTTATAAAAATGTCCATTTATCATATTAATGATTTTTTTAAAGGCTTGTGCTGAATATAAGATGCGATTTAGAGAGATAAAAAAAATGTTCTCGCAGTTGTGGTCAATTTCGTTTTCTGTTTAAACGCTGTACAATAAGATAAAATAAACTAACTAATAGGTGAAATTTGACGATCAATATGGTAGGCTACCATGATGTATCGCGTCTCCTACCGCCTGGGACTAGGTTGACATCTTTTCAATATAAAACTGATTAAGAGTGTAGACGGTTATGACATTTCACTGGACACGATTCTTATCGATGGCATGACTGTGATGTCATATACAGGTACACTAATTAAAGTGTCACGTGTTAATGCAATTATTGTGGTGAGCACGTACGGGGTTGAATGGCACTTAAAAATTGGAAATTGCATTAGTCAAAATAACCGAAGACGAAAGTTAGTTTATTTATTTTCAGCAAAAAACGAAATGAGCTATCTTAAACTATTTCGGAGGAGTATTCTAGAAGGATGATCATTTACTGGTCTGAATCCTATTATCCAGTTTTCATCAACCCTGTAGGTTGGACTATACTACACTACTGCTTTATTTAGCTGCAACTAGTGAAGTTTGTTGTGCACGAGGCATTTCATGCGCATTCGTTTACCCCCCCCCTCCGAAAAAAAAACCCAACAAAAAAAACAACCAAAACCGATACTTATTCTCTTTTATTTTAGCAGTTCATAATGTAAACATATTTCCAATGAAATTTGCTATTTTAAAAACTTTGCTGACGACGAGTCTATTTGTTGACTTTGCCCTAATCCGGTTACATTCTTCTGGTAGCTTCAGTTAAAAAAAAACTACGGTATACTGTCTGTGAGCAGTAACGTGTTCATATATCCACTTTTTAAAAAAATTTAAAACAGTATTTTATTCAAAATGTGAACGGACTTGTGGAACATGCATAACATCTCTCATAAATAAAGGAATACATAACAGAACCATGAACTCAAAACTTAATCAGCAACACATTTATATACATGTGTACACATTGAACGTTGTTCAATCTGGTCCGTATTATGATTGATATGATTTATTTACCGATCCTAAAACGTGCTGTGTTGAGAAATAAGTAAACCTTTCCATACATATTTAATGGGATATGATTGTTGCTAACATCGTATAACAATTTTTTAAGTATTAATAAAATTGGGCGTGAGACAGAGCGTCGTTACTGCATTCTACGTATGAGGGCCAGTGTTTTTGCGATGGGTATATATATATATATATATAAAAAACGTCAGCTATTATTATGATATAAAAAAAATTAGCGACGCGAAAGTCACTACTTTATAAGTAAAACGTAACGTTCCGATGATTTTTGTAAAAATGTCGTATACATCATTTCTATCTACTGACATAAGTAAACTCAATTATCATGTCACGGTATAAGTAGTCTAATTCATGTGACACTCATTGTTATGTTAAAATACTTGACGATGTCGCCTTCTATAGTTTCTACTGTTTACAAATACAAACTGTACACTAAACATAACATAAGGTGCTAAAATATACACCCTACTGTACCAACTCATTAGTATTCTGTCAGATATTACATAATATTTCTAATTAACCATAATGTGAAAGGTCTTTCATTTTCAGGCTAATTGTTTGTTTGCCAGATTTGGCAATTAAATTACCTTGTAATACAACATCAAGGATAACTCACTCATCGTTTGGAAATGAATTCAGTTCGTCGGTGGGTGTTTTATTATTGTTTTCTTGTCTTTCGTTCTTACATGTAGCGTAAGTACCACATCGTTTCAGAAAAGCCCCCCAAATTCTCTGACTTTTTCAGTTCTGTATCTCGATGTTAAACCTTCTCTGGGAATTTTTGTACTTTAATTGTACTCCCACGCTGTATGTTTTGTTCTGTTTGTGTTTTGTTTAACAGTTGTCGTGTGTTAACCTTAAGACATGGTATACTTTTTAAAGCTTTTTTCATGATATATATTTTAATGAATTGGTGTGTTCTAATATATTACCAAAGAAACTCTGAAAAAAGAACGCGACACGGCAGTAATAAAATGTCACAAAAATCAGTTCAATATCAATTGTAACAGAATATATTAGGGAGTGGATTAGAACTTTGAGTGACCTTGGCATGTGTTTGGTCAGGCTGACCGTCGTCCAGTCTCAGTTTACCTCTAATCACACTAGTAACAATACCCAAAGGACATCAGATTTTTACGTCAAGCGAAATTGAACACCTCTTCTGAACGAAAGGTGCCTCAAACTTGATATGATATTTTACACCCAATCCACACTTAGATAGAGAGTTGGACACACGAGCACCGAAGGTCACCCGTGTTAAGGCCATAGATTAAGGTTTATAATTAGGAGTTTAATCCCTGTAAACCATATTTTGTCTAGAAAGCTTATCACGTCAAAATTAGTTAGCGTTAGTTGACGAGAACGAACTGGTTTATCTGATATGATGTCGACCCGTCTCTCAAGCTTATATATAAAGTAGACTGAAATATAAAAAAAATGTTTTAAAAAGCCTATTGCCACGACTTATTGATGAGGGTGCCAAGTCCGAGGGGACATGTGTAAGGCAAATGTTGGAAGGCTGGATTTGTTTTACGCGAAATTTTAAGAATCAATTGCTCTTGTCGCGTAGGACCTTTAAATCTGGTGGTAAATATTCAGATGTGTTGAAATGAAAGTGATTGGTCCCATAGGGAGGCAAATATTGGTTTCTCAAACAGAATAAATATCAACACATAGTAAACATCTCCTCAAAAAATAAAACATAGTTCTTTGTATTTCCAATTGGACATGATTATTTCAAAAAGAAGAAAGGGAGTTACGTCCCCTCATTTGACTGTTCTCAGAGATTTACCCCACCAAGACCATGTTCAAATATTGAAATTCTTAAATACCTATTTTATTTTTGGTTCACAAATGGAAATGTTTTGATATTTCTTGAAGATTTAATGAATATGGTGTTGATTATAAACATGTTGATAGGTGCCGTTTTATTTTTTGCTATCTTGAATAAACAATATTTTATGCTGATAAGAATCACGCGAGGTACATACATTGTCAATAAATTCTAAACAATCAAATGGAAGCCAATGGTTTATATTAATTCACCTCCCTAATGGTAGTCATAGTGCAAAATATAAAATACACACTTCAAATAGCAGTAGGACACTTATTATCTAGTTAATCAAGAAAATTAGTAAACTTTCAAATTTAACGCCTTTTCGTCGCATAACACGCCTGGTTTGTACAATATTTTTGAAAATGTTAGAGGCGATTTGTTTATGAAGTTCATCATAAAAATTCTAAGATGCTGTGTAGTTTAATTACTTATAATTTACCCAACCGAAGCTACTATAATTAAAATTCAAATAGTATATTACAGTGGTTGTTTTAGAATGGTTTAACGCGTGCACTTCAGATCAGAAGGTATATCCTTGAGTCAAATGGCGGGGGTTTCGATTCCCCGCTTGTATATGACATGAAGTAGGGTCGTGGACTTCCTACGAGTTCTTCGGTTTCCTAAAACTGCTAAAGACCCCTACACACAAGCGAATTATTGAAATAAAATTGAATCATGTTTTTGGTCCCGAAATAATCTGGTTTGTGTCAAATGAACGCTAAACCCTATTTCTCTACCCCCTCCCTTTCTCACCTTTTTATTGCATATATTAACAAGGCATTTCATCTTCTCAACACAATAAGTATCTATATTAATAAGGTTAGTCATGGCCACGTGTCACAGATCAATATTAAAGCTACTGAAACGAGACCGTCACGGTTTACATTGATAAAAATTATAAGATTTGAAATCGTATTTTTTGTACCATCTGTAAACATTTTCGCTGATGTATCGATTTTTATTCTCAATCGATATCAGTAAAATAATCGCAGTGTAGCGAAACTATACGGAGATTTATTTCAATGCACCGTTCACAACTAAAATCAAATCAACGATTGAAAAAAGTGACTTGTCTGAAAACCACAAATTACGTGTGAAGCCCTAATCGAATTTCGTTGAATTAATGAATTGATTGCTTCATTTAATATTCACTATAGACTATAATTATCAATAAATTAAACGAGTACTGTCATTGAACCATGAGAAATTTAAAAACTAAATGCCACAAAGATAAATACAAGTTTCCAGGAATCAACAAATTATTCTGATGTAATTATGAATGTTGATTGTATGACTTTTTCCACGCGTCATTGATTCGAATAAAATTGAAAAGACGCCATTTTCTTGTAATTACCAATATTACCGAAACACACAATAAAGAAAATTTCATAATTAATACGTTCTCCGCCTTGCTTCAATGACAATTTGATTCCGAGTATCTGTAAATAATAATTAATATTTAATAACATTAATCAAAGTAATGAATTACGACTTTAAATCTGCTTTACGGAAACCACTTGTTACGATTTATTGTCGATATAACAACGCAACACATTTCAAGTGTAAGCATCAATATGCAATTTAAATAGTTTGCACGTTCGTTGCATGTTGCTCATTTTGTATCCCACAGATTAACTGAACCCAGCATCCAGTGTCTGTGGGTACAGAGCCAATACTTATTATCTTGTCTGTCTATGGTTTTGATGTTTATGGCCTGATGAATAATTATAAAAATTAGAATATAATTTTCCGAAAATCATTGCCATTCAGTGATTATATATAATGTCGGACGTTGTTCAAAGAGACCGACTTGCATAATGTTACTTCGCTTTAAATTATTCACTGAATTATCAGATGATTTTTCCATTTTCTCAAATTACCATTAGTTATCAGAGGTCTTATTCAACTTGATTGACTAAGATTATCTTAGCGTGCTCTATCTTTCCTACCAAATTGTTACAAAGCCTGCTAGAAACTATTGTCAGACTTTGCCGAACTCTATACGGTTTATGTACTTGACAGACCATCATGATGTCCTATTGTATGGCGCTCTTACAATTTCCGTTCCTTTGAGTTTAGTGACGTAATAGTCGCCGAACACGACAAGCGTGCGCGTGAGGTACGATCGAGACAATACTTTATTAAACGCTTGATTTCGACTCGTGTGGTCAAATGACCCATTGCATCTCTTAAACCAATTACTCGCCTTTGATCCCTAAAGAACAAGATATTAGCTAATCAGAACCATTTTAATCAAAAGCTTTTCGGTAACAATATAAAGTATAAAGTTGCATCGATTCGACGATGATGTGTAGACTAACTAGGCATAAATTGTACCACTTTTGTTAAAAATCGTTTACCATTCCCCATAAAAGAGATTTGATAAAAAAAAAATGCTTGATAACCCTGGAATTCAAGGATAACAAGTATGTCTAAAGCATGGGGTACGTCAAGGTGACGTCAACATACCAACTCTATTCAGTTTGTATATTAACGTTATTTTATCGCTTTTGATACTAACACGCGAATTCATTGTTTTCAGTGTTCCAAGTTTTTAATAACAAGATTTAAAACTTGCAACACGGAGCACTTCAATTGTCCGACCCTGACATAATGCATACCGTATGTATTGCTTTACTTGTAACTACTTATGGAAGAAAACTTATCAAAGTTGGCTTCAATTCATTAGCTTCCTAATAAAAGTCTGAAGTTAACAAACATATCGTCCCATTCATTATACCATATTTTAAAAAAAATAGTTTATCCTCATTTATTTTACCTGGCGTGATGTCGGAAATCATTATTGGATATGACCCTTTCTATAGCAACATTGTGCAATTCATATATTATAATACTTTAAAAGAAACACTTTTCTATTATACAAGACGCCCAGGCTCTATTCTCAAAAGGAATAATTGGAAAAGAGACAAATCGTTTTTTTTTTGTATTATTTCAGAATAAACACAGTGAACACGGCATTGAATTCTAACACCAATCTCATTTTCATGTTAGTAACACTGGCAGAGAACAATTTAACTGTACAATAGCTGACGGCATAGATTGAGTTGAACAACTCGGCTTGCTGCTTTTTTCTTTATATGGATCAAACGACTTTCATTAAACCCCTAAAAAATAAGGACTTGAGTGCAGAGTGAGTTGGGTTTTTTGTTGATATTTCGACCTTGTATGATAACTAAAAGCTGAAAATAGGATAATGATTAGCATTGCGGTGTTTTCTTGTCGCTTTCTATTTTTCAAGCGGTTTTTAACAATACTAGGCCGCATATGTCGAGTAGAGTTTGAGCTGCTTATACCCTTAACTGATAGTGAAAACGGAGTCTTTATTTGTTCCGTAACAGGGGTCATTCAGCTTGTAGCTGGTTTTATTCATCTCTTGTCAGATAACTGGTTGATAAAACGTTTATTAATTCCCAGGTTTCTCGCATCGTCATTAAGCGCACCACTACGTTTTATAGGGTTTTATTTGATGTGTAATCCGGTGATTTCCGCATCACGGGCTATGAAATAATAACTGTTTTAAATTTTTGGCTACAAGATTTTTTTTTATATTATATGTAAGTGCTACTTTCACGTGGCCAAAACCTGTTAATTATACATCCAAACATACAATATCTAACCAACCATATCAGTCAGTGCTAAATTCAAGAAATAGAAAAGTACAACAAAACTGCTTAACTATAGGAGAACTCCTCACATTATGATTATTATTTATTAGTATGCACATTTTTATAGCGCATATCTTCCACGATTAAATAAAATACACAGGTAAAATCAAAAATGTAAAATACAAAAGAGACATCTAGAAGTACGGTTATATAATTATGTGCTTTAGAATGATGGCGAAATGTACCGAAAGTTGATCTAAGATTTATACGGTATATTATTGGAATTTGAAGTAGAGTACATTGATGTTAATTATCAAACAGCCACAACTGTCACGGTCTATTCTAATATTCAACTATGGTTACATCGGTCTGAACTACATTCTAGCTTATCTCGGGTATATTTCCTTTTAATATCATTATGTTCAACTCTTGTTCCAAGGAGGAAACTTTGAAATTCAGAGTCACGCAACGTTGTCGTCGAACGTTGTAAAAGCTCTAAAGGTCAATGTTTTATCTAACTTACCGGAATGTTCGGCTAATCCAGAGAAAAACCGCTGTTGATTTTTCGCAGACATACATACCATGCTTACCCAAACCATGTTGATACACTAGGGCCGGCGGAAGCAATTCTTGGTTGTTTGGGGGGAGGGGGGGGGGCTACCATCCTAGACCTTTAGACGAGGGTCCAGGGGCCTCCCTGAAGCTCCTTGAGTCTAGATCGTCAAAGACGCTTTCTGAGCGATTTCCGGCTAATAAAATTACTCAGCATTAAAGTTAAATTTTATTTCTTTTCTAAATCCCCTACCATGCAAATACAGTCGATGGTGGTTTCCTACAATACTGAACTTGACAAATAAATGCATAATAATACCATGACTGTGGACACTCTAGACTGTAGAGGTCACAATGTTTATAACCGCATATAGGACCATCACTTCCTATATATACATTTTTAGCTTGTGGACTCCCTAGAGCTCACAGGTTTTATTTTATTGAGTGCAAATTTCGTGAAAATCGGATCCAAACTGCCCGACAAATTAATGGCCGCTATCTTTAAAACCATGTAATACTAATACCTAGGTTTTAAAACACGCAGAGGTTCGAATTTTCATCCAATTTGATATATCCCAAAGGTCTGAGTTTCTTTTGATATTGGCGCGTATTGGACTCTAACTTTCTGGATTATGACCTCTGATTGTACGAAATATCACGTATTTAGCGTGTGGAGCCTCAAAACCGTTCAAATATCGTTGAGACCAAATTTCGTGAAAATCCGACCGAAACTTTCAGTCAAATGGCGCCCCGCTTCACGCAAATAATATAAGAACATGTAATGCCCAGGTTGTGGACCATCTAGAGGTCACAATTTTTATCTGATTTAGATGACACTTAAACGAGTATCACTAGTTCTTGGATGAGTTCAATTTTGGTGCGTATTGCCCCCCTGTCTTGAATGAAATTTGTGGACCTTCCAGAAGCGACATTTTTTTTCCGATTCATGAGATTCAACTTAAACTATGTGTTAAGGATCAAATTTCTTGGATGAGTTCGACTTTAGTATGCATCAGACCTTACATTCTAGAGGAGCTATAGTCCATGCTTTTTATGAATACATTATTGTTGTCCCATTCTGAGGAAACTTAACAAATATGTTAAGGATCAAAAGATCTTGAATGAGAGGATAAGCCCTATTAATTTTAGCTCTTCCCAATACATTTCTTGCAAAATATGGGTGTATCTTGCATGGCAACCGCTTGTTTCAACTGGTCATAACTGATAGCATTGAATTATTTGATGGATAAGGGACACAAGGACAGAGTATGAGAAAAACTGTATCCCGTTGTTTTTTTTTTTTAATTACCTAACCTGTCATAGATACAACGGAAATGAGATTTGGTTGAAATAAAGATCGACTGTTTATTATAGTTAACTAATAGTGACCCTCGCAACCCGGAGATCAGTATAGAACATAGCAGGATTTTGTTCTGAAAGTCTGACTTCTATTTTAAAATCTGGCGTCGTTGTATTTAACCGCGTGCAATAACTGTTGTCCAATTTGGACTGTTCACGTATTTCACCCAACTTAATTGCTTAGAAATTACAATAAATGTGTTTAAAAATTCAATATAAATTACTGTATATACATTTAATTAAAATAATATATGCTTTTAAACTCACTTTCGTCTATTTTAAGGTTCGAAAGAATAGTGTCGTACGCCCTTTAAACGTAGTATTTTTTTATTTTTCCAGACTTAATAGGACTGTTTGACTATAGCCGTAAAAAGGGACCGTACAAAATTTCAGAATCACCCATCAATGTCATCTATAGTCATTACCCATAATATTATAGTCAGCGTGGGGGGATTGCATCCCACATGATTACACAAAACAAAACTACGGACAAGACACATTACGCAGGGGGCTAGCGGTAAAGCAATGCGATGTTAAAACGTACTCACTCTATTAGTTACTTTCGTATTCGTTATCAAAGAATATCTTGATGTAAAAATATGATGTTCGTCATGTAGAATCTAAAACGAAATTGCCGTTCAGTTGGAAAATTCCGATTTACATAAAGGGTCTGTAGCTCTTGAGCTTACTTTTATCATTTATAATATTTTCACGTATTTGTGGTTTATGTATGAGTCTGTCGCTATATGTGTATTTTGTATATCAGTACATAAACATTTGCTACCATTTATAATAATTATGTAAAATTCTTATATGATGCACGTCATCATTAAGTTTTGTGCATGTTACTTGTGACTGAATGTTCACTGCGGAAGAATGTGGAATAATTACACTGTAAATGCTGTTTAGACGTAATATTATTGTTACTAAACATGGAGACGAATGTATTTATCGCCTATTCATTAATACTAGGCCTGTTTAGGCACTAAAACATGGCATCTCCTTGTTCAAGTTTTCTCTTTCGGGGTTTTTAACATTGTGAGAAAACAAGACAAATACCCAAAGAGATATAATTTTTATTAGAACCATTAGTGTACGACCTCAAAAAATGACCCCAAAAAAGCTCGAGGCAACTTTTAACAAATGGCTGTATGAAATATGTTATTAAAATATGAAAAACACGTTCTTTGTCGTTGGTTGAATTTGAAGTTTTAATCCTACAGATAAGTGTCAAACTTGTATTCAATTGTTCTAATATGAAAACATTAATTATTTAATCAAGCGGAATGGTCATGTTATTTTGCATAAGGTTGGACGTGAAGCAACAAATTGAAATAGAGACACCGGGCCATTTATGTTGTCCCGCCGTCAATCTAGCATCACATGAGAATAAACAAAGTGACAAAACTTGACATAAAATAAATCTCTTAATAACGTAGCGTACTGAAAGCAAATTGACCATGTCCTGATTTTTAATCTATGCTATATTCATATTAAATCCAGTCTTCTGTGGTGGGTTGGTCAGTTTCATTGATATTATAATTCATACAGAAACGAATAATACAGAGTTGATTTTGAAGAAGAGGGCTGTAGTTGTTTGCTGAGACTTTTGTGATATATTTTGGTATATTTTTTAGAAAATGCTATGATAGCTGAAAACAGCTGTTTCTTTTCGCCTCCTTCGTCCACTAACAAGGCCGATATAACAGACTTCCTTAATATACCGAAACATAAAATACACACACATTGCCATACTACAGTACTAACCAGCAAGCTACTGCACATAACTATAGTAAAGGACTCAATTCTTGACTTGTTGGTTATACAATTTCGTTATGTTAAAGGAAAATATAATGATATGATTAAATTAACCTTTGTAATTAAAATTCACCTGCCGCTAGATGAATATATAATAATATAATAACTGAACAGAAACGACATGTCGTTACCAAACGCCGACTTATACAGCCTAGTAAAGTGGTTAATATTAGAGACTGCTAGAAATTCACACTATATATGCACAGAATTCATGACTGTCGCATATGCGTCCATCTCATATTTCTGTCGCATACACGGCTTTTTAAAACCGGAAGCCGAAGATAAGAAATTCACTTTGCGTTTTCTCTTTTTGGTTCAAATAGGGTTTTGTCAATTAGACGGAAGGCGAAGATACAAAACAAACTTTGTGTCTTCGCATTCGCCTTTTTAGAGGACTAATACTTATTATGGCTAGAGTTACATCTTTGACCAGTATTGAACAACGGCTAAGGTGCGATGACATCACAGAAAGACCCGAAGATATGAAGCAAACGTTTCCTCGCATCTTCCCCATCAATTGTTTCTCCATGCTCATTAATTTCGCCGCGTTCCTTGCATCTTCGCCTTCAACCTATGCTACTGAAACGCGCGAAGACAAAGCTGCAAGAGACGAGAGAGCCGCGATAGGTCAGTAAGGTCTCGGGTTCGCTTCCCGTGTTTTAGTTTCAAAATAACTCAACGAACCTAACAACATCGTAAACACTGTTGGTCGATGATTTTGTAAACAAAAAATAATCTTTTCAGATTCGAAAATATTCAATGCGCAAGAAAGAAATAATATTATACTCCCAGGTTAACCATAGTAAAAATATGAACTATCATTCCATTTTTATGCATTTTTATATTATTCTAATATTTAATATTCATAACTAAAACATTAAAGAATACAATAAAATATGAATATGTTATAAAACACACCGTTAAAATGGGTTGAGTGGACCCTGTAGGAATACTCCAATCAGCCCACCGCGCCGTCAAATGTTCATGGGGATAGCAATAATTGTTTCTTATATAAAAAAATAAAATGTGTACCGTGAAATATTTCTTTTATGACGCAGGTGTGTGTATTTGACTACAATCATCAAACGATAAATGCTTAATAACTATTAACGAAATAATCGCTATATAAGGATCAGGTACTGCCTATAAAATCAGTTTGAATAATTTTACGATATTAATACCACCCGTTAATTCATCGGGCATTATTCTACAAGTCGTTAGACCCTGATTAAGTTGCAGATCTTCGCTGGAGAGAAACACGTTGTCGCCCTTGCTGCATAGCACTTCCACTACACTTCAAATACACCATAAAGTTTGCTCATGCATGTAATGTCCAATAACCCATTGTACCTACCTATATGATCACTGACCCGTACCTAAATAAGTGCCATGCCCAATCTGATTTTTAATTTTTTCTCTCTATAGATTCTGGTCATACGATTAACATATCATTCATACTGAATGACCGAAACTGCATCCTAGCATAAAATTTACATAAACCAAACAAAGATCCTAAATCCGCTATCATGATTTTCTTTTGTTTGTTTGTCATACCTAGCGCTACTCTGGTAAAACCACTGATGTTATTGTTGTCATTTTTGTATTATTATGTGACAATTATTCGTATGATATCTTTTAAGAGAAAATGGAATATGCAAATTTTGTATTTGGCTTTTGTAACTCTGTTATTATTGGTTTATTTTGTTTCCATTTTAGTCACGTCATTAGTAAATAGTTCAGTGGTTATTATGAAATATTTTATTAATTAATGTGCCGTCGATATCAAAGATGTATTCAAATTATGGAAATCAAGGTTCCGACTGATGAAACTTACACGTGCACACCCTCACTGTGGATATACAATACTCTGATTTGTGTATAGATAATACATTAAAGTAAATGTTTTAGATTTGGTTCAAATTAAAATACACGCGGCTTCTTATCAGTGTAAACTCACGCTCCATTAGGCAGACTGAGGCTGCATCATGAAATGATAGAGGGTTAAAACGCCAGTCGGGTACATGGAGACGGGCATGCGCCATGCATTGTGATAGAGGGAATTTTGACTGGGTAGCGACGTATCCGCCTCAGGGGCGTACATGTCGATTTTTTTTTTTTTGGGGGGGGGGGGTGTTTAGAAAAATCATACCACTGATGCCCATCCCCCTAATACGGGTGACGCAGCCGCGGGCCGAGCACTAAAGGGGGTACGGAGGCATACTTCCTCGGAGGAAGTTTTGAATCTATGGTCCCAGAAATGCCATTTCCTAGATTTTGCAGAATTCTGATGGTCTGAAAACACTAACATGAGTAAGATTTTTGCAAGAACGTACAAAGTACTGTGAATCTGAAACAAATTATAAATGTGATAATTACATAATTTACATGGACCTATATGTTCGATATATTGTTGTGGTGAATATACATAAATTAGCAAAGATATGACTATGTCCTCATATTTTCACCAAGCGTCCACGCTTAGTAAAGTTTGACCACCGATCGGCGATTTTGTCAAGATCCATCGTGTCCGTCAGGTAAAGCTCACTCAGTAGTTCACTGAGGAGTTCATACATATATTAAGTATTTGGGATTTTTCCCTTCTATGTTCGATCACGATATTGGTCGAGCAAGTGTTTGGTTTTCTCTTTCCAGGGGTGCAGGATGGAGGCCTGAAATGACACAAAAGCGTTTTTCGTTTATATAGGACGAAAAACCAAGGTCCTGTGTATACGTTGACGGATGGGATTTGGAGAAGAGTAGGCAGAAACGTTGCTATCTGGGCAAAATTTGCTTCATAGCACACTGCATAGTGTATTCCCGTCTTTATTAGTCCGTTGGTTCAGAAAGGTAGAACGGTAAACCACATTTCATTTCTTGTCTCGACGCTAATCTCTGGGTGAAAGAAGCAAACCACGGAGTGTGTTTACTCTGTGTGACCAATCATTGCTGCACTGTTCATCTACAAGATCTTGCACATGCATGGGTGACAATATTATACCGTTAACGAATAGTTAAGATCGTAAGCCTTCTAACGTACGGTATAGTTCATATTTCTAACGGTTCATTAATTACCAATATTTCAGCAGTTTTGAAGCTAGATTGCTTGACTTTAGTAATGATTTCTTCTCCTGCAGAATCTATTGAAAACAGTTGTCGAGTGGTGTGGACTTAAATCACAAACTATAATCACTTGTGTAAACTTTGACTGCATCACCTGGGTTTATGTTTGAAGACTTTATTTGATTATTTCAGACCTAGGTTCACTCTCATTAAATTGTACGTCCTTTGCTCGCGTTAAAGAAAGGATTCTACAATATAAAAGAATCTAGATCATATTGTATTCAATAGAGATAATACGAACAAAGAACAATATGGAAGAAAAGTTCCATGTAGATGTCTAACAGTGATTTACTTCGCATCAGAAAAAATGGGAAATAAAACGTGTTAATATAAAATAGATAGAAAACGTGTTATAATAAAATTATCGAAATAAAAGGTATATTCTCCACGAAAGTATTTATCGGGTAATTATTTCCAATAAAAGTATTCTATATTTGATGTATGGAAAGTAAAAACATAGAAATGTAAAAATATAGAAATAAAGTGTTTTAATGTAAAAAATGTGCCACCCACAAAATTCGCCATTGTACACTTAGTGTGCATTTGGAAATAAGATTTATTAACCATAGTAGTTTGTTAGTAGCGCAAATTTTGTGGGTGGCACAGGGAGTCGACGAAACGTTTGAGACAGTCTCCGGTATAATCCGTTTCTGCATTTACGCCTTAAACAGAAGCCTTCTTTCTTTCTCCCTCAACTGAGTTGTATTTATATTTAGTTCAACATCATATTTTACCTTTAGCTCACTACTGAAATTAGAGCAAATCTGGGCAGTAAATATACAGTTTGATTCACGACCCTTGGTTCGGATATAATCTCGGACCACTAAAGATTACCATAAATTGTTAAACGGTTGGTAACGGTGCAGTATAACACTCTTTCTTGTACGTTACTTCCAGTTTGTGCATCTCAAGATTTCTATGGTGAACCCCATTCTTGTCTTTGAACAGGACTTTGCGTCATAATAGAAAGCTTTCAAACAAACAAACATTTGAGAACAACTTATGCTTTGGGCTAAGACACGAGAATTAATATTCAAATCAATGAGAAAAATTAATCGTTTATTATCTGTGGCCTTAAAGAGATCCATATAGGCACAGTCTAATATAATGTGCAGTGAGCAGCATTGTAACTAAGAATCTCAAAAATCTTCTGAAACTGTAATCAAAGTTAACTGAAAGCCATTAAATACATCGAATAGGCCGAAATTAATTGCATTGTTAACTTGCTCATAGTATGAATAATAAAATCACTGTCAATAATTGGACACACCCATTTACCTTGTTATAAGTACAAATCGCTATCTTGGGGGAAAAACTACTATCAACGCATGCACGGCATCACGTGTGTGCAGTTAAAGTCTCGTGTCCTGAGACGACCTCTTGCGACGAGAAGCGCGGTAAAATGAGAGTTGCCATCAGTGGATGCAATATTATCCAGCATCTGGCTCTTTGAATTCTCGGCGTTAGTCGATTGTTATCGTGGGCCACACGTCTATCTATATATATAAACAATAGCAGGCTATCCTATCGATCAGCCACAGTGGGATTAAACACTACGTTTCAATCAAGACCAGTTTGTAGTCGTTGATCGGTTCCTGCAAACGTGCTGCGTGCGACGGAACGGAAATGTTGCACATCTTCCACACGCGCTTGTCAATCATAGTATGAGAGTTGTTAAACAGTGATTAGTGGTTTTGGATGAACGCACGTTTCCTGCAAAAAATGCCATGTAATTAGTTTATTTCACTGTCTAAAATATCAATCGAGCTTATTAGTAGCGAACTGGTGGGCGATGTCCGTTGACAACTTTTTTCATTGTAGGATTTCAACTATGAAAAATGACGTGTCAAAAACAAATGATTAATCATTTTGTAATTACCGGGGTTGTTTTCAAGAAATACCCATAATTTGTCAACTGATAATTTTATTTCTGGTGCCAATTAAAAGTTGATCTATTTTGTAAAAAAAATAGTGTATAGATTAACGAGAAAGTTCTTGGTTTATTCTGTACAAAGTCTTTCTGTTCACTGATGACTTTTGTAATCACTGGCCATGTAGAAAACAGCCACATTCCTAATATTGAGAAAGCACATTAATGGAACCCAGATTTTATGGGAATCCACCAGCGATTGATCCCCATTAAGGATCTCCGTCATGTAATTTCAATTCGTTTTATATTCTGGCCTAATACTAACCAACAAACAGTAAAACATGAAAAATGAAACTACATAATTCAAAAAAAATATTGAAGTACACAAGTTTAAAAAATGAAAACATGAAATATTGAACCGGGTGTACATTATTAGGATTTCCCATAGAATCTCTTCAATAGAGAAGTGATGTCAGGTTTTTTAAAATCATGTAAACATGCCCTGCCTTTAGCATACCATAGAATATAAGCTTCAAACGTATAGGAATAACTCTATAAAGGGGAAGTGATGTCACGTATTCTAGAACAAACATTTCCTGCCCCGCACACGACACTAATTATAGCGAAATTTGGTAAAACGCCTAGGTGTCAAACGTCACCAGAGTCAACAAAAAAACATAACAAAAATGAAGGTCCATGAACTCCTCAAAATAAGTATATTCTATCAGAAGCCGCGAAGGCTTGATAGCCACTCAAAGACACCAGCAGTTCAAAGCCTATGTCAACTCTTCAAACGCGTACGCGTTTCTTTTGAATTTCGGAATACACTTCGCGATAAGGCCAACAACAGTGCCACAAGCCAATTAGTTTATTAATACATAAATGTTTATTTAAAAAACCTATCTTTGTTGTTATTGCGGGCGACGATCTTCGAAAAAAGCTTAAGACCATCAATTCGTAAACGCTTGAAATGAAACTTGACATGATTGTTCCTTAGACGATTGATGGACTTCGATGGTTGATATGACGTCAACATTCCAAGATATGCGATGACGTCATACTCCGTTCCTGTTCCAGGCGCGCTGGTATTTGTTAATTAACTCCTTCAGGGTCACTAATGACGAAAAGCAATATAGAAAATAGGCAGCAATTGACAAAACGGAATAGTAAATGTGCAAGGAACGGATGGTGGTTTATTTGACAACACTCTTATCTATTATTACAAACAGTCAGTCTACAGATCTGTTGAATTATGTGTTGCGAACCAGTCGGCTTACCATAATACAATTACTGCTTTTACTGAGTGATTTCCACTGGGCTTCTCTAGTCTTTATCTAGGGAACTCTTAGTCGGAACGTCGATCGGTAATAAACAGTAATTATATTCCATAGCATTATGTCTTGTGTATTTCCAAATCAATTGCAAATTGCCATTGATACAACCGTAACAATCTGGAGTTATAATAATTTACTTTAATGAACCAAACATCGACGTCTTTATGTTTGTTTCTTCTACAAAATATTTTAGAAAATATAAATACTTCAATCTCTCGTTGGGAGCATTAAATTATGTTTGGGATTATTAATTATAATGGGCTTGATATTAAACATTTAATATCTAACTTATTTATCGGCAATTCATATTCCATGCTTTAAATTGTTAATAATGTTGAAACGATAGAGATGACGTTGATGTCTTTTGTGTTCTGAAGTTGACAGGTTAAAATACGTAGGGTGTCTGCGGACATTATGTTTTATATTTTCTACATAGACTATATGACACTAGCTATTGTCCTGGCAGGTGATAAGGTCTTCAATTTACTATATTATTTCTGTAAACAAGATTTTACAAGATCCTTTGTCGCTAGCGGACAAGGTGTTGGTGCATTCATTTTACAGCCTCGGCTAATCCCCACGTGCCAGTCTTATGACAGGCGCGTGTAGGGCAGTGTAACATTGAAAGACGGAGCAAGAAGTTGGAATAAAACATCTATTTTCTCTTGTCATTTCTCGTCAACCAATGACAGGTCTAATCCTAGAGCTGGATTAATTTCGAATCAGGTTCGTTAACGTTACAACAAACTTGGAAATCAAAACAAACTTTAGACAGAAAGAGAAGCAGGGAAGCGTCGAGGAACGTCGTTCGACTGGTCTAATTATCCGAGGAGTGCCGAATTCTCCACTGGTGTGTTAAACATTTGTATTGTAACTGTAAGTCTGTAGAGTAAGGTAACATATCATTTATCAACCTCTCTTCGTTTGTCATTTTACACAAGACTTTTCAGTAACACCAGCTCCGATTACAAAAGCAATTACATCGGCATAAGTCTAGTTAATTAGGCCTATCTTTTCCATATTTTCGAGATTAAAGTCGACATTGAAACACGATCAAATTGTACCAAAAATGACATAAGTTTTCATGAGTTTGGTATCGTGAATTGTGTTAGTGACAATAGAATACCGGTCAATGAACTATATCAAATGTAACTCGATTACCTGTTGACGTGATGAGTATTAGCATTCGTCAGATAAATATTTCACAATTATCATGGATATTAACTATAATAATAACATTGTCGAATATTGTTATATAGAGTTTGTCAGAATTCCAAAGTTGCCCCGTTTGAGTTGATTGGCATCAAGCACACAAGACTATACGACTTATATAAAGTAAATCCCAGAACTGCCTATACTCAAGGGCAACAAAAATACATCAATCCCAATACTGTTCATTCTAAAGAGCAATCAAAATACACCAATCCCAGTATTCTCTATACTAAAGAGAAATAAAAAAACACAAATCCCAGTACTGTCCATTCGAATGAGCAATAAAAATACATTAATGCCAGTACTCCCCATTCGAAAGGATAATCAAAATACTAAAAGCGAAATAGTGAAATATAATTTAAGGTCTAATAATATTCCCGTACACAACCATTGTGCTTTATGAGAAAGTGGCATCAGGTGTTCCGGGAGTGGGAGGCATGGCGGAAAAAATAGTTTACGGATTTCGTCAGTATCTGGCAAGTGATATTGTCAGTATCGGTGCTTGGATATATGGAATCAATACAGTAACTAAATTTGATTAGCGATAAGACATCATCTGCATTTCTAAGAGTTAAGTACACGTTGATGTTCATTAAATCTTTCTTTAATAGTTTTTATTTGCTTTACGCCCGTTCAAGACCATTCAGCTGTTTAATAACACCCACCGCGTAGTTTTACGTAATTAAGGGCAGTTCGGAGAGGAAGTATTTTCTAAATGCTTCTCATTTAACCATGACATAGATTTTGAAGTAATTTTCGCTAGACAGGATGGAATAGTATGTAGATATACTAAGACGTAATGAAAACGCGCCACTTTCATAAATGGATGATAGTAAATCTCGTTTTAGAGATACACTTTAATCTTGTAATTCTGATTGTCAGCCCATTAGATTACAACGATAACACGCGGGAATTACGTTTTCACGAACGCATAACTGCACCACATATAAATTACGAATTTATGGTCCCAACACATGAGGTATAAAGTGTGGCTTTTAAAGAACTAGGGTCAGTACAACTCTTACATCTCTGTGCAGGGTGCATTGGTATGCTTAGGTTGACACCTGAACAAAAGGGCATAAGTAGCAGATCTTTTGCCAGAAGGCTTGGGTGTCATCACAATTCCGTCGAGAGACTGGCAAGTCGTTTCCAAATGACAGGGATTACTAGGGCTCGATCAAGGCCATGACGGCAACGTGTGACAACACTTCGTCTCTTTATCCAGCAACATCAACAGGGTGCAAGCTTCCATCACTTTTGCTACTATGGCTGATTTTCTTGTGTGGGTAAATATCCAGCCCACAATCATACCAAAAGTCACATTTTAGCTGCAATATGTCTCGTCAGTCAATTCAGTGGTGCGTTTTTATTTCGTCTTAGTGGTCTATAATGTAATTAATCAAACAAATTTCATTCATAAGCTGTTAATATAGATATCTTCATTAAAATTAACAAATAAATTTAAGCTATATTTGACACAAATCATATGCCTATACAGCTTCGTCTGTTAATATTTAACAGCCGCTTCCGTAGAAAATAAAATGAATAACCTGATTTGACTTATTTTTCGTACCCCTCCCTTTTTTAAATTATATATAAAACCGAATTTAAAAGCAAATTTAAATAAGAAAGGAATATATTATTCATAGTTGTCTTGAAATATCAGCGATATAACTGATGGAAAACTAGTTCATATATCAACTGATAAATGCATATTATATTGTTATTGCTACAGTATTAGATTTCACCCCAAAACATGACAAAGTAGGAATAAGGTTGTTTCTAACTTGCTTAACTGCAGGTCCGGGTTCGACCCCGGTGTTGGCTGACAAAGTTTCTCGGGATATTCTGGCGTTGTTTCCCCTTGTCAGTGTTGCAGTGCCAAGGGCCCGACGAGGAAAGGCGTCTCTACGGTCGCCAAGATGTGATCAAAAACTGAGGTCCCGTGTACACTTTGGCGTGCACGTTAAAGGACCATATAGACAGTTGCAATTCGAAACAAGAGTAGACTGTAGCGTAGCTTCCCGGTACTCCCACCCCAACCCCCCGACGGAACACTGCATGGCGTATGTCAGGCTTCATTAGCTTAGATAGAGTCGAAAAGTAGGACCTCAAACCAAATTTCTGTATCTGGAATCATGTTGATGTGATGAGTACTAGCACCCGTCAGATAAATATTTCACAATAATAACATTGTCGATTATTGTAAATATTTCACAATAATAACATTGTCGATTATTGTTATATAGAGTTTATCAGAATTCCAAAGTAACCCTGTGTGAGTTGATTGGTATCAAGCATACAAGACTACACGACTTACATAAATGCCTGGACTGCTCATTCTAAAGGGCAACAAAAATACATAAATCTCAATATTGTCCATTCGAAAGGGTAATCCAAATACTAAAAGCGAAATAGTGAAATATAATTTCAGGTCTAATAATATTCCCGTACACACCCATTGGGCTTTATGACAAAGTGGCATCAGATGTTCCGGGAGTGTAAGGCATGGCGGAAAACATAGTTTACGAATTTCGTCAATATCTGGCAAGTGATATTGGCAGTATCGGTGCTTGGATATATGGAATCAATACAGTAACTAAATTTAATTAGCGATTAGACATCATCTGAATTTCTAAGAGTTAAATAAACGTTGATGTTCATTAAATCTTTCTTGAATTCTTTTTATTTGCTTTACGCCCGTTCAAGACTATTAAGCTGTTTAATACCCCCCTCCGTGTAGTTTTACGTAATTAAGGGCAGTTCGGAGAGGAAGTATTTTCTAAATGCTTCTCATTTAACCATGACATAGATTTTGAAGTAATTTTCGCTAGACAGGATATAATAGTATGTAGATATTCTAAGACGCAATGAAAACGCACCACTTTCATAAATGGATGATGGTAGATCTTGATTTAGTGATACACTTTAATCTTGTAATTCTGATTGTAAGCCCACTAGATTACAACGTTAACACGCGGGAATGGCGTTTTCACGAACGCATAACTGCCCCACATATAAATTACGAATTTATGGTGCCAACATGAGGTATAAAGTGTGGCTTTTAAAGAACTAGGGTCAGTACAAATCCTACAATTCCGTGCAGGTCGCATTGATATGCTAAGGTTGACACCTGAACAAGAGGGCATGAGTAGCAGACCTTTTGCATGAAGGCTTAGATGTAAGGCTATCAATATAGATCTCTTCATTGAAATTAACAAATAAATTTAATGACACAAATTATATGCCTATACAGCTTCGTCTGTTAATATTTAACAGCCGCCTTCGTAGATTATAAAATGAATAACCTGATTTGACTTATTTTTCGTACCCCTCCCTTTTTTTAAATTATATAAAACCGAATTTAAAAGCAAATTTAAATAAGACCGGAATATTTTATTCATATTTGTCTTGAAATATTAGCGATATAACTGATGGAAAACTAGTTCAAATGCACATTATATTTTTACTGCCACAGTATTAGAATTCACCCCAAAACATGACAAAGTAGGAAGAAGGTTTTTTTTCTAACTGGCTTAACAGCAGGTCCGGGTTCGACCCCGGTGTTGACCGAGAAGGTTGCTCGGGATATTCCGGCGTTCTTTCCCCTTGTTGGCGTTGCTGTGCCAAGGACCTGCCGAAGAATGACGTCTCCATGGTCGCCCAGATGTGATCAAAAACCGAGGTGCCGTGTGCACTTTCGTGTGCACGTTAAAGACCATCGTCAGTTGGAATTCTAAACAAGTGTAGGCCGCAGCGTCGCTGTCTCGGTACCCCCCCCCCCCCCAAACCCTCCGATGACACCCTGAATGGCGTATGCCAGGCTTCAATTAAGCTTAGATAGAGCAGAAAAGTAGGACCTCAAATCAAATGTCTTTTCTGTATCTGGAATTTCTAAAAATATGTTAATGTGATGAGTACTAGCACTCGTCAGATAAATATTGCACAATAACACATTGTCGATTATTGTTAAATAGAGTTTATCAAAATTCCAAAGTTACTCTGTTTTTGATTGGCATCAAACACACAAGACTATACTACTTAAATAAAGTAAATCCCAGGACTGTCCATTGTAAAGGGCAACAAAAAAATATTGTCCATTCTAAAGAACGCAATCATTCCCAGGATTCACAACACCAAAGAGCAATCAAAATACACCAATCCGATTAATCTATATACTAAAGAGAAATCAAAATACACAAAACTCAGTACTGTCCATTCGAATGAGCAATCAAAATACATTAATTCCGGTACTCTCCATTCGAAAGGGTAATCAAAATACATTTATCTCAGTACTGTCCATTCTAAAGGACAATCAAAATACATCAATCCAGGTACTCCCCATTCGAAAGGGTAATCCAAATACTAAAAGCGAAATAGCGAAATATAATTTAAGGTCTAATAATATTCCCGTACACACCCATTGTGCTTTATGAGAAAGTGGCATTGGATGTTCCGGGAGTGGGAGGCATGGCGGTAAACATAGTTTACGGATTTCGTCAATATTTGGCAAGTGACGTTGTCAGTATTGGTGCTTGGATATATGAATTCAATACAGTAACTAAATTTGATTACCGATAAGACTTCATCTGAATTTCTAAGAGTTAAATAAACGTTGAGGAATATTAAATTTTTCTTTAATTCTTTTTATTAACTTTACGCCCGCTCAAGACCATTCAGCTGTTTAATAACACGCACCGTGTAGTTTTACGTAATTAAGGGCAGTTCGGAGAGGAAGTATTTTCTAAATGCTTCTCATTTAACCATGATGTAGATTTTGAAGTAATTTCCGCTAGACAGGATGTAATAGTGTGCAGATATACTGACGCAATGTAAACGCACCACTTTCATAAATGGATGACGGTAAATCCCGTTTTAGAGATACACTTTAATCTTGTAATTCTGATTGTAAACCCATTAGATTACAACGATAACACGCGGGAATGACGTTTTCACGAACGCATAACTGCACCACATATAAATTACGAACTTATGGTGCCAACATGAGGTATAAAGTGTGGCTTTTAAAGAACTAGGGTCAGTACAAATCCTACACTTCTGTGCATGGTTGACATCAAAACAAGAGGGCATGAGTAGCAGACCTTTTGCCTGAAGGTTTAATGTCATCACAATTCCGTTCCGATACTGGCAAATATTTTCCAAATGACCGTGATTACTAGGGAAGTAGGGCTCGACCAAGCCATGACGGCAACGTGTGACAACACCTCGTCACTTTATCTAGCAACATCGACAGGGTGCAAGCTTCCCTCACTTTTGCTACTATTGTTGATTTTCTTGTGTGGGTAAATATCCAGCCCACAATCATACCAAAAGTCACATTTCAGCTGCAATATGTCTCGTCAGTCAATTCAGTGGTTCATTTTTATTTCGTCTTAGTGGTCTATAATGTAATATTAATCAAACAAATTTCATTCACAGGCTATCAATATAGATATCTTCATTAAAATTAACAAATAAATTTAAGCTAAATTTGACGCCGCTTCCATAGAAAATAAAATGAATAACCTGATTTGACTTATTTTTCGTTCCCCTCCCTTTTTTATATTATATATAAAACCGAATTTAAAAGCAAATTTAAATAAGAACGGAATATATTATATTCATAGTTGTCTTGAAAAATCAGCGATATAACTGATGGAAAACTAGTTCATATATCAACTGATAAATGCATATTATATTGTTATTGCTACAGTATTAGATTTCACCCCAAAACATGACAAAGTAGGAAGAAGGTTGTTTCTAACTTGCTTACCTGCATGTCCGGGTTCGATCCCGGTGTTGGTCGAGAAAGTTGGCTCGGGATATTCCGGCGTTGTTTCCCGCTTGTCAGTGTTACGGTGCCAAGGCCCCGACGAGGAACGGTGTCTGTATCTGAAACCTCTTAATAAATATATAAATAGACATGTATATGGTTGTAGACTGTTCTAGGGCTGGCATTCCTGATAAAATGCCTTAAAATGATGAAAATGCGATTTTACGGGTTCCTGGTAACAATTCGACAAGATTGTTTCTGCGCATGTCTGTGAAATGATATACTTCCTTCTAATAATGGTTTTAAAATAATGGATTTATCTGAAATTTGAATAAACATTACCCGTGATTTTCTCAAAACACTTTGACGGAACTTTGATATTGAATTAATTTACAAAATTAAGGAACTACCAATAAACGCACATTTTGTGTGAGAGGTTATTAAATAGGATTATTTTTCAATTGTTCGGCTAATCACAGGGGAAGAACCAGTCACCTTCTAGATCGAATATTAGAGTACTTTTGTTCTTGTCATCGTTTAGGCTCATAAGTTTTGAATACTTCGACATGATTCGAGAAGATATGTCAGTGATCATTCGCCTGGCAAATAAAATAGGGCCAAGGACCTTCATCGCCCAGCGGTAAGGAATATATGTACATTTAAGATAACTCCAATATTGTTAACGAGGATTCGTAACTCAAAGGGAGTAACTCCGGCAGTAATTCTAAAAGATCCCTCTTATTCAACACCAATCTTCCTATTAATCAACTGGACATTCTTTTAAAGTACTATAGATGAAGAACAGAATATTTGTCTGGCATTACGAAAATGTCTATCTCCCACATTGTTACTAACCATGAGCCACACCAAACCTTTTATTCGATAATTACCTCGGACCTCTCCACACCGAACTACTTTGGGGATGGTCGCAGGTAATAAGAGTAGTATGTATATGTGTTATTTACACTCGTACAAATGAAGATACCAAAAGGGTTAGTTGCTTCCTATTCGGATTTGTTCAAATATACAGTCACTTAACCAAAACGTGCATTTTACTGAAGTTGGTAGGTATGTTATTTCTGTATTGGTGGTTCTTAATCAGAGTTGTTCACATGATGTGGTGGTTCTTCCTCAGAGTTGTTCACATGACGTCTATCCATCTTGAAATGGACAAATTGATAAGCTTCTTCATTATTCAGAATATTAAACTACACCAAATTAAAATCTAGAAAGATATTGTCGGACAAACTATTTCTGTTGGTACAAATATACCGTAGTACAATCCTGTTCGCCACACTTTGTTAAAAACCGTCCAGACACTAAACGCAAATACAACGAAGAAGATGTTGTAAAAATGTTAGAATTCCTGGGTATTTTAGAGGATATATCTTTTCTATGTAAATGTTAATAAATCTCAATAGATCTCCATTTCTTTCAGATTTATTTCTGTATGTTAACGTGTCCGATTATATGCACTGCTTCGTAAAAGGAATAAAAAGCTTACCAAATCATCCGATTTCACTCGCAAATATACAAAGTGTGTCTTACCGGTAAACACGTTTTTGGGTTAGTGATTTCAGTGATCACTGAGGAGTTAGCGATGAAGTAAGATTCCAGTAATAACTACTCGGTGTTCTACTTGGACTTACATCGGCTGATCAAGATTGGCCGAAATCATAAACTAAGTGATTAATTCTCAGATAAATGTGATTTTAATTTCACCATCGTAAACATTTTCGTAATGTATAGTAACACACTGCAGTCCCCAGCCTGTGGTGTTCATATTTCTAAGGCAAGTTTATTTACCCAATTGACTTAAGCCTAGGACGGGACACAGCATATGTACAATGAAAACTAACCAGGTTTCTAATTTTACTTTATAACTTCAGTATACATTTTGTGATGGTTTACTTATTGGGAGTCTGATATATCCACTATCTAGCAAATGTTTAAAATGATTAAATGAACTTGAGCTTATTGCAGGGACAAACATATTTTAATAAAATAATTTTTGTTTGAAATTCTTTAAGGTTCCTGAAAACTAATCTGACAAAAACTATACATACGCATAGAAAGATAGTTTCTTGATCTGTTATCCAATATAAAGTATTTCTTTCATAATGTGGAGTGTGCTTTTTGTGTAATTGTACTGATCTGAAAGTAAAATCACAGATTTAATGACCCGTTACTAACAAGTATAATTTATAAATTGGTACCGAAGTACGCTTACGTTAGCTTGCGGGGTTAATTTGTCGCGAAAATTTAGAGAAAACATAACTGTCCAGAAAAAAATCATAACAATGAAAGCACGTGTTAACGATATGGTCAAATATAATTTAATGTACGCCTTTATGTTTGACAGGACTGGCATCTGCCTATAATAATAGACCAGTGTTGCAGCATCGTTACAAAAACACCACCTTAGTCGACCAGTTCACGACGTGACCATACTTCACCCGAAGGCCATTTTGTGGACTCGCATTCTCACTCCCCTAAAAACGACACCATGAATAAAGAAAAGAAAATTATTGTTTCTTTCGAAAATTATGTTAACTTAAGTCTCTGTATAGACTGTTTACTTTCTTTGACAGTGTCTGGTATTGGTACTATACCCCACCTTAATTGCACCTCCATTATTGCAGTATTGTCAACATACTGCTTGTAATTTGTGCATTGATACCCACATTTCTTAAGATGTTATTATTAGACTAATATTGAACAATACTTTGTAAGGGTTCTGTTCACACTGCACAGTCAGTACAAATAATTACTGTGTAGCTCCGCAGGGTATTTTATTTTAGTCCTATATTTTTTTCTGATTTCTAAAAGACACATTCAAAATAAGGATAATGGTATTTTCCCCCCAGTGGCATTAACTGTTTGGGATAAATGCTATCTGGTAAAATTTCTTTGAAAATCCAAAGTAAATACATTTTCGTTGTTGATATGGTATTAATTGTTTAATTGTTGTCGGTTTCCAACGATATAAAGTGCAGAAATTGGGATATAGAAACTTCTAAAATGTCTTCATATCAGACATTAATTAAATTGTAGTCTGTGTACAATGAGGTTCGGGTACTTTAGATACAAAGGTTACCACTGCATTCAATTTTCAATTTGTTAAACTGTAATTTTGGCCAATTAACAAAAACATCATGACCTGTACATCCATGAGAAATTATTTAAAATTTCTAATGGTGTTTAGGCTGCTGCATCCTTAGGTCTATCTTCATGACTATTCAGATGATTGTTTTTGCTTACTTGTGACACTAGCAATTAACCACATTCTAAAATACAATACAATTTATTATATGATGTCATATTCGCAAGCAGGTGGGGTTGTACATGAGGTGGAATATATGGATACATTTTCAAGAACGCCTTGTACCACGCCTCAATTATTTGAGAAGCTATGCTAAACCTTTTTCTCTTTAAAATTGGAAATATCCTGTTTTCTACATGGTATGTGTATCTATATAACTAAACCATTTACATCAATAGCGGAATGGGAGACGATTAAAAAGTATGTGTGCCCCTCCTACATAATAGACCTTTAACAAAAAGGTCTGAATGTGAGACCGTTACAGAATTATGTGATCCTCCTACATAAATTGTACTTTAACAAAAAGGGCTGAATTTGAGATCGTTACAGAATATGTGTGCTCCGCCTACATAAACTGAACTTTAATATAAAGGGCTGATTGTGGGTTCGTTATAGAATATTAATTGTGCTCCTATATAAATTGAACTTTAACATAAAGGGCTAGGTGTGAGATCGTTACAGAATATGTGCTCCTTCTACATACATTGATTTTTACCATGAAGTGCTGGGTGTAAGATAGTTACATAATATGTGTGTTCCTCCTACATAAAAGGCTGGGTGTGATCACATCCTACATAAATTTAACTTTAACATAAAGGCTAAATAAGAGATCGTTAGAAATAATGTGTTCTCCTATAGAAATTGAACTTTATCATGAAAGACTGGGTGTAAGATAGTCCAAGACTCTTTGTGCCCAACCAACATAAATTGAATGTGAGACAATTACAGGGTGTTTTTGGTAAAAACAACAAAAATGCCAAGTCTCTGATAGCGTACTTTTCGGTTTGTCTCAAATGCTTTGAATTAATCTAGAAAAGTTAAGAGATGTTTGGTCAGTTTGGGAAGTTTGAAAACTTCTTAAACCACAATATTGCGCAAGTTAGTTTTCTATAGGAAATGTCTGTTCCTTATAGTATTTTGAAACATTTGGCATCATCTGCGGTGTGCAGGATATAAACAAGCCAAAGTCACCTATAAGTATTTTGTAAAATCTTTCAATTGTCTTCCTTTTAATCCGACAATCTACCTTTGATATTTTAGTTTGGGTTTCTTACTTAAATGTTAAATAAACTTTATGAGCACATTTTGGCGTGGTTTAAGCCTTGAAAATATAGACATTGTGCAATGCAAATGACTATCAGGGGCTCAAAAACACAAATGATCAACATCGGTAAAATATGTTGATTTTGGCCTGCTGGAATGGAGGACTGACCTATCGAAGGGCCTATGTAGTGGACCATAGATTTAAGATGGTAACGACTGCTATTCTGCTTGTCTGCGATATTATTTCATTAAATAAAGCTATTTCACGCACATGTCACGCAGTGCGTTTTGACATTTTAAAAAGTCAATTTTACACAATATTATTATATTAATATGTTTTTTAAATAAATGTATTTAATACCCTCTATTGTATATTGTGTGTAGTTTCTCAATTATGGTCATTGAAAATGGGGATCAAAACAATTGCAAGAGACTTACCGTCTATAAAGCTGTTGATGATTTAACTAGGGCTTATTGTCTACCCAGTAGCTTCAAACTACCGTTATTTCGCAAAACATATTCTGGAGTATGATCAGCATGCTTAGTCTTTCTAGGAAACTCACGACCTGTTCTCCATTCTTATCAGAAACCATTCAATTCAGTTCACTTGCAGCTCTGCCATTTGTTTTTAGTACTGAAACATCTGGATGGTCGTCATTCCTCCCCGGGTTACAGTGAATGGGACTGGGAAATGGGAATTTTTGGCGGAAGCTGTGGATCTCTGATGCAATATTTTTTTTAATCCAGCAAGATGTCAATGGGTTCCGCCTATGATAGGTGACGACGTATTGTCTGATTATCAAGCACTGTAGTCTAACTTGTATCTAAAATTTTCTGATAATCCACAAAATAAGAAAACATCAACCTTACGATGTCGAAAAAAATCTAACATACTCTTGAAATTTAATCTGATCATAACTAAAAAAACAACATTGAGGTTGGTATCCCCCGCCGAAATAAATAGATGACACATATTAATTAATAGCACGTTTATCTTTTTCAAAAGTATCAAGCAATCAAACTGATTATCAACTATACACTAAGTTTCATCACTCTTTATCAGATAGAATCAAAGTCAAAGAAATTGCTTAACCAATGAACTCAGTCAAGACATTCACCTAATGAACATCAACATCAAGTTTGAACATTCTACCTTAACTAAAAACAGATTTGTTAGGTTCCAAAGTCTTAACCAATCAAATTGCTTATCGATCATTAGCCTAAGCAGAAACTTCTCATCAAACTTAGTCAAGGCAATGATATAATGAATCTATACTCGGAGTTTCATAGCTCTCACTTAATTATAACCAAATTTATCGTGCCCAAAAGCATCAACCAATCAAATTACTTATGTCTGCTTACCGTAAGCAGACAATGTCCATCATCGAACGCCAATTATAAGGAGAGTTATTGTGTTTCAAAGTCTCGACCAATCAAATTGCTTATCGCTCTGCTCCCTCAGGAGAAAATGTTCTTTATCGAACTTAGTCAAGGTATTGGTGTGATGAAACTATACACCAAGTTTGGTCACTCTCGCTTAATGAGAACTAAAGTTATCGTGTCCAAAAGCATCAACCAATTACCCTAAGCAGAAAGTGCGCATCTTCATACTCCATCAAGACATCGACCTAATAAACACCGACACCAAGTTTGAACATTCTAGCTCAATAAGAAGGAGACTTATTGTGTCCCCAAAAAGTGTGACGGACAGACAGACGGACGGACGGACAGACAGAGGGACGAAACCATTTTAATAGTCTCCTGCATGGGACAAAAAGGCATAACGCTCTCGTCAATACTATTAGCTCTTATGACTAGACGGACTGACGGAAGGTTTTTATGGAGATCAGGTTATGAATAATGACCATCAATCAAACAAATGACAAGAGCGAAATAGGGCCATTATGACTGATAATAACACCCAACTGGTCAAATAAGACTTTCTAAACTAAACGTTCGTGAATTTTGAAGATATGTATTAATAACAGTTAACGTCTTGAATGCTTAGAGGGGAAAGGGGTGCGAATGCTCTAATGCGTGCACTTTAGATACTAAGGTCTGTCATTGAGTCAAGGAGTTGGGTCGCAGGTCCAACCTCGTGGGTTTTCGCCGGGTCGCCCGGTTTCCTCCCACTGCTAACGACACCTACGCGCAAGCGCATTATTGTAATAAAATTTAACATGTTAGTCCCGAAATGAACTACATGTAGTTTGTGTCGAGTGGACGTCAAACCCACATTTCTCTCTCACTCTCTCTTTAGATTCTTTTTAACTAATAAGGCATAAAGGTCAAGGTCAAGAGCAACCCATAATCAGAAACTGTTTCATACTAACTTAATTCTTTCTTGAAAAGTGTCGAAAACTGAATCAAAAAATTTGGTCACGAATTGGAAAACAATCAGACGGAACCGTTACATAACAGTACAAAAAATCTGTATCAATGCATATTTCAAATAATACTTTAGCTTTATTGATGTGATCTTAAAACTTCGAATGTCAACAAATAAAATAGGGTTTAGCGTATTACTTTTCTAAACCAACTGTGATAATGAACTGTGCATACGCCATGCAATGCGGGAGTCATTTGGCCAGGGCAACAGCGGTGGGCCTACACTTATTTCGAGTTCCATCTGTCAGGCGATCTTTAATATGTTGCCAATGATATACATAGGATCACTGTTTTGCACCACTGACAATAGGAAACCAGGCGAGAAATCCCTAGGACATTGCTAGACCAACCAAGGAATTACAAGTGAACCAGTGTCATACTCATCAAGCCACCGTGGCTTCCACTTTAAAAACAAAAACCCAAGAAGGGCGTTTTGCTTGTGTCATGGCACAGACAAAAGACCTACAAAATAAGGAGTACAATGTAAATTGGGTAATGATCTGAGACGGTGGTTAATAAACCAATACATGTATCCACTTATAGCGAAAGTGGTTTCAATGACCCTTAATCGTTAAGTAGACATCCCCAACCACTTATCTGATGTTTTATCACGATTTATTAAAAACATGACATTGTGAAAACAAGAGTTACACGAAAAGCAATCAGAATGGATTACCATAATGAATAAATTAGTTGGAACATAATAATATACCTGTTTTCTTGATGGACATGCCACTGACGTATCTCGGTTAAATTCTATGGTGAACGTTGCTGGTGTCACGTGGCCTTGATGGCCAGACGTCGTGAACTGGTCACATTTTCATAACAACTCACGAAATCAGTTGTCGTAGTTTGATAATTAGCTCAAATATTCCTGAAAATAAAGAATTACCAGATTTCATGTGTTTGGGCACTTTTTTGTCTGATAGCCCCGAATAAAATATTCATAGAATTTTGGCATCTTTGCTTCCACGTGGGTAGGCATGTCTAGCTTCTACTTGAACGTTGTAGGACCCATGTAAGTGGCTTTCCAAATGTACCATATGGGATACGATTAGAGCGTTCATATTATATTTTCCAATAAAAAGTCAGATATTAAATCTTCGTTTCTTTGGCATTGAATGAAAATGAATATTCTTTTATTTTGCTTTTCGCATATGCTATGTTAATTTTATTTGATTTCATTAATGCATGGGACCATTATTTCCAATCTCGGTTCGAATAGAGGTGGGATGTGCCTGAAAAACTGTTCCATTTGAAATATGATTAAGAGGAAACAATTCTATTTCTGCATGTAAAATACATGAAAGAAGATGAGTGTGTAGCACCGTGTGTATACCAGTTGAACGGGTATTGTGAGTAGTTGCCCGTCTAGCCATCAAGACCTTTTTTGGTGCTCCTAATGGATTGTAAAGCAGATGTAATTACACATATAAAAACTATAAAGGTAATCAGCGGGAAGTACTTGAAAATACATCTTGGTGGAAGGGATCTAAAAGCTGAAAGTGACGGGTGCTATGATCGAATGAACTAAGGGAAGAACATATAAGATCGTTCCAAATGCCTGTTGCACGTGAACTCTTTAGGCCTGTCTTCCTCCTTGATTTTATCACATACATTTGTCGATGAATGGTAAATAAGCATGCAATGTGTCTGCCAAAGGGCCTGCCAAAATTATCGTCCAACGGTAATTTTGTGTAAGCCACGCGTTTGTGGAACAATAAGTCTCAGTTCAGCAGAACAGGTGAAAGCTGAACGCCGCGCCATATCAATGATTAATGCATCTAAAGTAGCACCAATTACGTATAGAATTTAATAGACATGAAAGGAGGGTGTTTAGTAGTGCCAGGGCAAATGTAAGACCAGCTGGGAGAAGTGCATTGCCATCAGCCCCTCGCACACCGTTTGTTTTCTCCTAACAAGCTAAGAGGGAACGGCTGGTACAAGCCAAAAAGTCGATAAATGTGCTTCAACGCATCTAAATATTATGGAAAAATAATTTTCACCTGGTCCTAAGACACAAAACAACGCAAAAATCCAGGTAACAGAAGCGCGTAGAGAGCGAAAGGCGGGTTACAAACTTGCTGAAAAGTTCAGAAAAGTTTTAAACTGCGCGCTCTAGCTATTGCTGACGCATGCGCATTTATGTAAACAATACCACTGGTAGCTGAAGATAGAAGCTGTGCCATTATGAGGCCGACACGGTGAAGTCGCGTGGGTTGTATCTTCTACATCAGAGAGCTGATAGTTTATGAATAAACGCCATCTTTCTGTAAAATGCAATTGATTAATTTCATAGCATATATTGAACATTTATTTCGTGTGTATTTTGTCAAGAATTTTCTTTGTTGTTTCATTTATGAGATTAGAAGACACATGTCCGTAAAACGATAACTTGCTCGATTAATACCGCTCTATATGTGTGTGGGACTTTTAATTGCATAAATGACCTTAATGTCAAAAATGAATATGCATAAAAAGGATATTCCATATTCAAATTTCCCCTCGGGCAAAATGTAAAATTTAAGAATTATCAATGTAAAGCTTAGATTGATATCTCTAAAGATGTGAAATTAATATCTATCGTCACCCTGTTAATGGGTTTTTAAGCCGCTTAACGTGCATTTGGAGTTGTGAAATTTTGTCTAATAGCCTCTAAATAATACCATATACACTATATTTAGATTGTAATGCTTTTGAATAATAAAATTATATTTTAGTTCAGGGGTCTACGTTCAAGTCTTAATGATCAGGTATTCTTGAAAAATGAAAGATAATATTGACATGACTACGAGCCAAGAGACGCATTTTGTAAAAAGTATAAACGATAGCAACTATTTCTTTACAAATATCCCCACTTCGATGATAAAAGTAAAATGGGGCGTAGTTTTAACTATGTACATATATCTATAGAATTTTAAAGCAGATTTAACACTATATAGACAGAGAGAGGGTGTTCATTTTAAAATATCATGGC